TATCTTAACTTCTAAAAAAAAATAAATAAATAAAATTTGAGTTAAAAAATTAATATTAGAAATTTATTAAAACAAAAATAAAAAATACTAGTTATATATATAATATTGGATATTATTATTTTAATAAAATTTAAATTAAATAATAACATTAGAGATATAGTGACTTAGTGAAGTAGATAAGTTATCAAACCCCTAAGTAATAGGTAGTAAATTCAAATCTATTGATGCCAAAAATTTGGATAATCTTCTATATAATACACAGATAGTATTACAGTAATAGCATTCTATTAATCAGTTGAGATAAAATATCTGTAACTATAGTTGTACCAGAAGACTGTCAAGTCATAGGACATCTGCACAATATTGGAATTATACAGAAAATGCAAACTGGCATTGGGTAGTGCAAACCCAAGATAAGTTCTTATAGTTGTATAAATCTGTAAAACTATAAAGCCAAAACACACTTAGGAAGACTCAATTAGAGAAGTAATACAGATCTTCGATAGTACCACTATAAAGACTAAACCTAGAAAATGAATACTAATATAAAAGGCATTTGGCAGGCAAGAATTTTTAATAATAGGTATCACCAACTAGGCTACTAGAAGTCTCGAACTAGAAAAAAAGAATCTTGAAAAGCAGACCTTCAAGATATTAGAAACAGAACACAGTCCTTTTAGACTATTTGGATTAAGAGTTTGAGATCTAAAGTAGGGTATAACTAAGTACTAGAGATATATTATAAAGTCAGTACTAGGATCTGGATAAACTTTACAAGAGCAAGCCTATTAACAAAAGATTAAATATAGATATATAGTTAGCAAAAAGGTCTTCTGAAACCTATAGTCAGTTGACTTATTCTGAAATATATAATAGCTTGACAGATGTACAGACAGAGAGGTCAGAATTAAGTTAAATAACATTTAAATAGGTGTACAGGAGCTTGAGCACTATTTGTTAGTATAGTATAAAGGTAATCTTATACAAATTATATAACAATAATTGAATTTACAATAAAGACAGTAGTTATTGATAACTAATAGTTTTAGAAAAAACAAAAAAAAACAAAAAAAAAATAATAATATTAGACAATTATTAGGATTGAGGTTCTATAACCTAATGGTCTAAGCATCTTTCTCTTTACAGATAAGGTCAATAATTCAATTTTAGCTAAAGACAAAACTTTATAATTTACAGAAATATATGAATATATATAAAATTCTGTAACTAAGTTTATATAAATAGAAGATCAAAAAAAAAATCTTTCTATAAATCTTTTTATACAAAATAACAAAAAATTTGTCAGTAACAAAATCACTATTATCCGGTTATCTTATTAAAATAACCAACCTTGGTGTCTTCATTAAACTTGTTCAGCTCATAATTTTATATATATTCTGAAAGTTATAGGTCTTTAACTTTCAAACTTGCAGTATAATACTGCTAAAACAGCCTTTGGCTTCAGTAATTAAACTTTTAATTATTTCTCATCTATTACTCTTTTAACCTACAATACTGTCCTAATAAAAGTTGTAAAGCATCTTTTTTCAATCAAAACAAGCCTAAAATGAAGTTTGTAGCCCCAAAACTAATGGAATTATAATAAAAACAACTTTAACTCCTTTACTGTTCTCTAAAAAATTACTTTATCCTTATCTTCAAATTTTCTCCCTTATATATTTTTCATATAATCATAAATTATTTTTAAAATTGGTTTCATTTAATATTACATTGTGTAAATTAAATTTAACCAAAAAAGAATTTATTTAGTCACAAATTAATCTGTATTAATTTACTAAAATTAAATTCTATATTCTAGTACACAATAGTCATTGTAATACATAACTAATTATAACTTTATATCATACTAGTTATACTAGCCACACTAGTCACATTAGCCACACTTGTGTTACCTAGGTTACACAAGGTTACACAGTGTTGCAGCAAGCCGCAGTAATACCCCTGCAAACTTAAATCCTAGCCTGTAACAAAGTCTATAATTATTATTTTATTTTAAAGTCTCATATCTTTAAATCTTACTAAGAAAAACAAGCCTAATCTTCTAAATAATTTTATTCAAAATGTCAATCTTAGTAAGCTCTGAATCTGACTCTATTGATCTGGACTACTTTTATAAAAAATTTCCAAAAAGGTTTGTCATTGGGATCTATAAAGATATACCAGAAATATTACATCCAACACCTGCAAATAATCAATCTAATAATTGCATTATCACAGAACTTAGAGGCAGTATCAAAACCTGTCATTATATTTAAGTACCTGTTACTAGTGCAACAGCCATCTGCCTATGTGGTAAATATCATACAAACTTTTATTCAAACAAAAATCTTATTTACAAACAACATCCAAGTACCAATATTATTAAAAGACCAAAAGATAAAAAACTATTTGTAACAAACACTGTCAACTTTACAAATGTCATCCCACCATCTCCTACTTCATCACCTTTATCATCTTTACATCAATACACTTGCCCTAAATGCAATCAACCTATCAATTGTAAAGTTATTAATAATAAACATTATCTAGTTGCTAATGTCGAACTCTTTAATGACAAACCTTATTACAAATCTTGTCTCAAAACTAAAACTGAGTTTGAAGTTAGCAAACAACCTATTATCAATCCAGAACAAGGACCTTCCCAAACACCTTCATTTCATGAACTTGAACAATCACTCAACACATTTTGTATCAACAATCCACTCATTTCTGAACTTAATCTCCTTACTTCTATTATTAAAGAAACAATAAATGATACAATAACTGATATTACTGCTATGGATATCGATAACTCTAATCTACCTGATAATAACCAACACAACAACAACAAGAAAAACAACAACAACAACAAGAAACATTCAAACAATCTAAATAACAACAACAACAACAAGAGACATCTAAGCAACCTAAACAATAACAACAACAAAAATTACATAAACAACTAAAACAACCCTACAACCAAGCTGTAAGACCTAAACTTAATCTATCATTTGATTGGTTAACAAACTTTCCAGTCACTAAAGAAATGAAAAACAACACTAAACTTCAAACAGATATTTCATGAAAATTATTTAACTTTCTTAAAGAACACCTATATAATTTCTTTTCAGGAAAGATTATTAAAGAAGCAACAGAAAACCATTCTGTACTCAAATTTAGCTTTTATCTACTTATTTGACAAATGGCTAGTACCAAACTTAAATTTTTAACAGACTTAATCCAAAAACATAATTCTAAAACTGTTCAATCTGCCACAATACCATTTAATGTCCTTAAAGAAACTCTTAAAAAACTCATTTTCATATTCACTACTGTTCTTTTCACTAAACTTAATTACCCAGAAATTTTTGCTTTACCTACTACTATTCCACCTCTTAAAACTAAAAATCATCTACAATTCTGCATTAATCTAGCTTGTTTTTATCTATACTTATCTAACAATTATCAAGCCATTAATTATACAAAATTTGCAGAAAATATTAAACTTAGACCAAAAAGATTTAAAATATTATCAAAAGTTATTGGATATGACAAAAATAAAAAATACCTCTCTATTAATATGGATATTTGATTCAATATTCAACTAGAATTTAATATTTCTAAGACCTTACTTATGGACAAATACAATATTTCTTCTCTAAAAAACTCACTGTTTTATTTTAATAAATAGTTTGAAAAAGCTTTTTCATTATACAGTAGCCAATTTTCAAATACTATTGACAAAACCAAAGTATCTAATTACCTTAAATACCAATTCAAACAACATTTCATTTCTCACCTCAAAGAACTTCTGCCTAGTACTCACGAATTTGCAGAACCACATAATCTACAAGAAAGATAACATGAAATCTTTAAACAAGTTAACTACTATATACTCACCTGCACAGACTTTAAATGCTCTTATCTCTTAACTACTAAAACACCAAAAGGAAAAAAAAGAAACATCTACAAACTTAAAACCCAACATTGAATCATATTTACAACATAATACATCTGCACTTACCAAATACACTTTTGATGACTCTTACCAAAAATAACCCAAAAAAGATAATAAATCATGGAATGAACTCTATCTTGATCCATCTGTTTTTTATGCTAAAGGCAAACATGAAGCTACATTCCAAAAACAAATTTCTACTACTGTACTTGATGAATTAGCAGCAAAAGCAGAAGAATATACCTGCTTTGCCAATGCTTTTAAAACTAATCTTAAATAACATGGCTTCTACTTCTACCAATACCTATTAACCTACTAAAACACTACTGCCCAAAACTACAATATAGATAAAATGGACAAACAACAAGCAATTGACTTCATTACAACTAAGCTTATTGATACTGACTTTCTTGTATGAGCAATCACCTATTTTGATTGCACACATGATAACTTACCAAACTATTCAGAGATTACTAAATTTTACAAAAAAAAAGCCTTTCCTGAAGCTGAAACTATTTTATATAATAAATTTAACATTAAATTCGAAATCTCTACTGCTATAGAAGAATCCCTCTTTTTAAAAGAAGAGGAACAGACCCAGACCCTTTTTCACTAAAATTGTCTTCTACACAACTCATAAATGCAGCTGCCACCTTATTAAAAGAAACTACTGAAGTATTTGATAAAGAAGATAATGTAAGTAGGGAGTTGGGAAAAGCTATTTATGTGGAGAACCAAGCAAATAACAGTCAGACTTAATGCACAGAACAGACTATGGAACTCTTCACAGCTGTGAGTGCTGAGCTTCAAATAGCGAATGACTTAGTAGAAGACAAATACCTATTCTTAGAGACCATCTCATCATATAACTCTGAGAATTACAATACAAATTTCAAAAAAATTAACTACAAACCCTCACATATCTACAACTCTGAAACTTGTTACAACAAATTTCTTGCATACTTTAATTTACCTCCAAGTTCACAAAACTAAACTATCAGTTCCTTCCTTAAACATCTTCAACAATATAATCTTATATCCTATGCTACCTTTTCTATTAATACTAATATTAATGAAGCTCACATCTACTTACCCTCTGAACTGCACTTATTACCAAAACACACTTTTATTAACCAAAAGTTTCTACATTAGTACTTCAACACCCCTCTTAAGTCTCAAACATATGAAACACTTAATCTTAATATTGTCATCTACAATATTCAAGGTTTTAATGATACAGAAAAGAAACTTTTATTAGAAGAATACTGTTTTCAAAACAACCTACAAATAATATGTTTAACTGAAACCAAAATAGCAGAGACTAAAAACAAAAAATTCTATAATAATCAACATTTTACATACTACTGGTCAAACAGTTCTACATCCAAAGAAAGTACATATATCCTAATTCATAATAACCTATAACCACACATCTACAACATACTTAATCACCCAGGAGAAGCTATTGCAATAGATTTGTTTTTCAAACATGACTACAAGTTCAGAATTATTTTGACTTATCTTTTATCTACCAACAATCTAACATGACAGCAAACACAATCAATTATTATTATATAGATACAACAAGCCTTACAGCAACAACTACATATTATTGTTCTCAGTGATTTTAACTCAGCTATTCTAATTACTATTTCTAACACAATTAAATACCAACTTCTTAACTACCTTTATAGTACAAACATATATGACCTGGCTAGCCATACTAACAACACTGATGTTACTTGGCAGAGTAGTAGATATCAAAGCAGAATCGACTACATATGGTCAGTAAACATACAATCTCTTTTCTTAATAAATTTTACTTAGACAACTTATCCAAAGCTACTAATAGTGACCACCAAATCCTGATTTCACAATGGACCTTTCCTTTTGCACTCAAATCCAGACAGAAAAATAAATACAAAAAAAGAACTTTCAACTACCAAGCAATAACAATAATATCTTTATGTACCAACCAAGTTATTACCAATTTTGGTCTAACACCTATATATGCAGTAGAAGATGGAATTGACCAAGGTGAAACTATCACTCCTTTTCTATGAAGAATATATTATGACCCACTAATTCATCACATCTACACAAAATTCAAAATGTACACTACTGCCTTAACAAGACTAACCTTACTATTTCCTCTTAAATATCAACAAACACAAGCTAATACTTCTATTCTTGTCTACATAGATAACACATTATAGATTGCAGATTCTCAATAACAACTCCAAAATATTCTTAACAAAGCCTTAACATTTTACCAGATAGCAAACAACAAAGTTAACCTAAACAAATCTACTTTAATATCTAATACAAAACTTATACCTATATTCAACTTTATGAATACTATTATACAAACACAGCCTTACAATACACTCTTAAAGTTCTTAGGATGCTGATATACAGCAACTAATACACAATCCATCATATTCAAAATAATTGTACAAGAAACATTAGGATTAATAAACATTATACAAACTAAACAAATAACAGACAAACAAACTAGTTATGTTATTAATAATATAATTATATCTATTTTTGAATACTGAATATATAATATAGTCTTATCTCACAATATATGCAACAAGATTTTGTCAAAATATCTTACTGTAGCCAAGCACAAATCCAAACTTCTAGTTACTACTCCTAACAGTACAATGCTTAATCACAACATATATAGAATCAAAAATATATAAGAGATACAGCTACAACATCATATTAGCAACTTCTTTTTTTAGCTTAATAGAACAAACCTACTTGGAGTTACTACCCAAATAAGACTGCAACAACTTCAAAACAATCTTTGGTCAACTACTAACATTCTTCAACACTTCAACACTTCTATTAATGAAGCCAATAAACATACTACAACATTCCAAATAATTCAACTTCTTAGATACATGCAGCTTACAATCACTGCTTACTCAATACAACCTTATACACTAACATATCTATACACCCCAATTGAAACTCTTCTACATACACATCCTGACTACAACAATTTTAAAAAACAGTTATATAATAAACACATTTTATACCTTGAACAACTTACATCATTTGATAACTCTACACTTCTTGATTGAATACATATTCCATCTAAACTTGGACAAATTTTTACTGCACAAAAACCTAAATGGTTTACTATACTAGAAAACAAAATTATTACAGACAACCATACCAAACAGATAAACTTATCATTAAACCTCTCTACCTCTAATTTACTGTCATTTACAACAGGCCATTATAACTCTAAATCCAAGCCATGGCTAATTACCTTTGACTATAACTACCAAGAAATAATTATTGGAAAAGCATGCAAATACAATACTAATTACATTCTATTTCAATTATATACTGGCTGACCAAACATGACCTCTCCTACACTAGCCTTTACTCACTTCCAACTATTAATTATATATGATGTACAGAATGCATACACAACTCTAACAGAATTCAAGACTATTGCACTTTCAACATTTTAGCCAATTTTGCAACAAAATTTCTAGAATGGAAAAAACACAATAATACAAAAGAACTTAACTTAAATGCAAACTACCTAGACCTTATTTACTTTATTGCTTCATGACACCTTTATTAATTCCACCATTACCTGCTATTATACTTAATAATACACCTATATTTACCTATTTACAGTTAACTCTTCTTCTATTAAACTTCAGGAAATTGCTAACCTCAATAAGAGGTACACTAACTTCATATTTTACACAGATGGATCAGTCACTAATCTTACTACTGACAGATGCTCTATGAACATCAGATAGGTACAAATTCACAATAATACAATACTTCAATCATACTCTTCCTGTATTAAACTCTGGCCATCATCTTACAAAGCAGAACTCATAGCAATACTATCTGCTATTTGTACATGTCTATGCAATAGCAATATACAAATCTATACAGACTCTCAATCAATTATTGCAAAATTCAACAAAATTACCAGTTACTTAGTCCCAACATACAAAAAATACTCTTACTCATATTGGCCTATTTGGCATTTATTACTCAACCTAATTCAATCTTATTAATATACAGTTACTTTTCACAAAGTATCTGCACATAGCAACAACATATTTAATAATAAAGCTGATAAACTAGCAACAAACTACAACTCTATTGCATATCTTGACTTCATATACAATAACCTATACAACACCTTATATACTTTAAAATATGGAAAATACATAATCAAACAACTAACTAGACGAGCCATTAAAAATATCTGTAATGTACATATAATTGCTATGTGGTTATCACAACACCATATGAGCAACATTATTTTACTGTTATCACAAATTGACTGAAATGCAACATAGTTATATCTTAATAACAATACTGAATGAATAAACAATTATACTAACTTCTTACTTAATCAAAGCAAATTATTCAAGATCAAAACACTATTTAACATTTTACCAACACTATACCATCTCTATGAACTATATCCAAACAGCTTTTAGCATAACAACTGCATTACTTGCCAAATACCAGAACACCTACTGCACTGACTACTATGTTCTAACCTAACAAATCTTACTAGTATTATTTCAGAAACAATTTCTGAAATCATTAACAATAACTCATTACTAAAAATTACACAATCACAATTACAACAATTATACGATTTACTAACTCAACATAACAGCCTATCAGTTAACAATGTTCATCGAGGACAAAGCAACATATACACAACACTACAAGAATATGTACCAACAGACCTAATTACTACAATTAGACCTTATATCATATCCTATCAAACTACAACTTTAATAACTACCAAACTGCTTACCAAAATATTACAAAAAATATATGCCCGCATATGGAAACCATATGTCACTAAACTAGCACAATGAAAAAAAACAATAATATTACACCAAATAACAGATTTACAACTCACAGAAAATCATATAACTACTCTAATCAATATCATAACCTATACTATACAGTCTGCCAACTGTGCAGTCTGTCTAACCAACTTCATATAGAAGATAATAACTGTCTACTACTAGGAAATGCACTTCATAAAATTGACCTTTGGTCTGTACACTGGATACTATATAGCTACTCTACAAATAATATCTTATATTATCAAATCTAGATGAGTTTTAACCACTCTAGTAGGTTTAGGTTGCAGATAAATTAGATAGAAGTCTGTCTATAGTCTGAGCTTCATTCTTGTAATATATTTGTAATTGGAATAAGTTTGTAATTTATATCCAGAGAAGCCACTAGAGACTTCTTTAACAAATCAATAAAGATATGAGCAAAACCTTACCTTAAAAAAAAAATAAATAAATAAATAGAAGATTAGTATATAAGGAAGTTTTTAGAAAAAAGTTTTCTAATATGAAAAGTTGATACTTAATATAAGAAAAGCAGTAAATATACCAAAAATAAAGAGAAGACATACTAATAAATAATACAATAAACATAAAAGAAAACTATAGAAAAAAAATAAACTTATTGAAATTTAAATATCTCTAACATTAAAACCAGTTTAGTAAATATAGGATATACTAAATTAGATTTAAGAAGTAATCTTAGTACTATACTTAGTAAGTTTGTATCAAAAGTAAATTTTAAGAACTATGGATACATAGTAACATCTAATAAGATGATACTTTGATATAAATAATAATTAGATAACTTTAACCTAATATGTCACTATAATAGTAAAATAAATATTATATATATTTGCAAATAAGTATTAAAAATCAGAAAGTTTTAATAGGAGATCTACAAGTAGGTCTTAAGTATGACATCTAATAGATAACCTATGAATAAAACCCTTAATTAGATAATGACTAAAGTTATACATGTAACTAGTTGTATTTTTGTTGATAAACTTTGTATATAAAAAATGTAATCATATATTACTAATAAAGACATACAGACAAGATTGCCCTTCAAAGAAAAAAAAAACATTAGACAATTATTTAATAAACTAAAATTATTTTCCATACAGTAACTATATATGTATATTCACATAAAGGAGGGTATATAGTAGATTAGTACAGTATGGAAATGTAGATTAGTACAGTATGGAAATGCAAATTGGGACAGACATGTGAAAATACATACAATTTATCAAAAAAACTTCATTTTGAAAAAATCAATTTTTCTATAATCTCATACAAAAAAGAATAATGTTCACTTGCCCTAACCCCAAATATAAAAAAGGATTACTTGTAAAGAATTGTATTTACTCTTTCATTTGCCATGAAGATGTGCTGAATCATCTGTGTGACGAGTAAGCATTGGCTAAATAATTATATTAACTAATGCTTTTTAGCCACACTCAAAGATTTGTCACATCCTTGTGCCAAACGGATAATGGACTTATAAAAATTAATTTTACAAACCTATGTTAACCGTACTTATTATCAAAATTTTACTGAATTTTCATACGTCCGTACTTATTTATATAATCATACAGTATCACTTCAGCAAAGCTTTTCGCGTACAGTACCTACAGTTAGGGATGAGCTACTGCAAAGCCTGCAACATTATGCAAGCTGACCAAAATTATGCTAGCTGGTCAGAATTATGTTAGCTAGCCTGAATTCTAAAAGTCACATTGCGCAGTCTTTCAAAAATTCTGCTACGTATAGTACATAATGTACTGTATATATAGCACAACACTACACATTCCAAATAGTGCAAAACCGATATATTAACTAAATGCAATACTGATACTCTTCACGTCTTCCGTTCCTGGTTTTGCGTGACAACGTTGCGAAGCTATCTTATGATAATACTCTCATAGTTTTATATCAAAAAAATACATCGATAGTTACTTGATAGTTACATAATAAATCTTAATTTAAAATACCTGATTTTATCCCGAAAGCTAATATAGTTTATTTGCAAAATAAAAAATTCTGATAGAAGAATGATATATTATTTTATTACTAATTTACTCTTCCGAAATTATACTTATTATCCTGATAGCCTTATTGACTGAATATTTCTGATATACTCTCGCTTTTTGCTATATATTTATATTCCCGATATGGCTTTATTCGACCTGTGATTATTCAACATATAATTTTGCATATAATTATCATTATAAAATTGAAAAATAATTATTTTTAAAGAAGGTACATCTTCAGAATAGGAAATTAACAAAATTTAAACTTAGTTTTAAACTAAATTTTTTCTTCTTCTTTTGTTTTATATAATTGCAAAAAATTTAATGTTAAGTTACTTAGTTAAGTTGAAGAAGTTCTTCAACTCAAAGTTTATAGTAAATTCATATTGTTTTTACTATAATGTTTATTATAATCAACATTTGTTATTATTATTTATTTTTAATTATCACCAAAATCAACAAAATCAACAAAATCCGCCCATACGAGATTGTTTGGCCAAATCTAGAACAAAAACAACTTTAAAAAGTAATAAGTATACAATGTTGGTGTTATCCAATAGTTTATATGACCGAGTGAAGTTTTTTCTATGATAATTTGCAAAACTCATTACGTAATTTTGTGCAAAAAATATCAAAAATTCACATGATCATATGAAATGTCGGATAACATTCTATATTGTCACAAAATGTAAACTGGTCTACTTTTTAATAACAAATAAACTACAATGTATGATTAACAGGAGTTGAGAGAAGGAAGTGAAAGACTTTACTGAAAATTAGAAATATTCAATTCTCAGTTCAACTAGTTCTAATTAAGTTCAATAACAAGAAATTGAATCTGAATTAGTTCAATGTTTGAATACTAAAATATTATAAAAATAGACTTTTATTAAAATATATTTCAGCTAACTTTTAATAAAGAAATAGTTTTTAAAATATATTATTATAACTAGTATCTAAAAGTTTAGTATGACTTTCAATATAAAAAACTTTAACTTCAGTTCAGATATATTTTGAAAAACAAAAATGAATTAGATAAAACCACAATGATTCTATGCCATTGCATGAAACGTGTGCAAATGAAAATATATGTATCTAAATACAGCAAATAATGTTTCTTAATAACTACGTACAGTATAACATTAAAAAATAAAATCAAAATTAAATTTTAGTTCTATAAGATATTTTAGTCATAAGAGGATTTTTCATCGGTAATGTAATAGAATCACAAAATTCCGGAGGTGATTTTTGTCCAGGTACTAATTCAAACTTAAATTCTCTCAACATCATTGCTACAAGCATTATTACTTCAAGAGTAGCTAATTGTTGGCCCAAACTATAATCATTAACAATAAATTAAAATTTTTGTTACTTTATAAAATTAAATCATGCACAATACTAATTTAAGTAATACTAACCAAATTCTAGGTCCAGCATGAAAAGAAGCAAACTTAAATTGATTTGGTCTTAAACCATCCTCAGAATCTAAAAACCTTTGAGGATTGAACTGTTTCGCATCTTCTCCCCAGATTTTTTCATCTCTTCCCATTGTATAAAGGTTATATTCTATATATTCACCGGCAAATACTGGAGTGTTATTAGGTAAAACATTATCCTTAATGCACATCTTTTTTCATATAATTGAAAAAAAAGATAATTAAAAAAATAATAATAATTTTCATAAACATAATAAAAATTAAATTATTATTAATACCCTTAGATTTATTGGAACAATAGGATATAGTCGAAGAGTTTCGTAAAATGTAGCCAAAGTATATTTATATAACTTATGATCATCATATGATGGAACGGACATTTCTGGAGAAAGAAGTGTATTAATCTCTTGAAGTAATAAATCTTCAACCGGTTGGTTTGCCATGATTAAGTACATCATCCAAGATAGAGCCTGTTTAACTTAATGTTTAGTAATAAATATACTATTTTTCGAAATCGATTATTACATAACTTACTTGTGCGGTAGTATCACGGCCTAAGTGATAATAAAAACGCTTTATAAAGAAAATTAAAGATTGAATTCACATTATTTTCTAACTGTAGTTTATAAACTTACCAGCAAGAATAACATTAAGTACAACATCTCTCAACTCTTTGTCATTCAATTTTTTACCATTATCATCAACAGCATTAATAAGTAAGGCTAACAAATTTCTAGCCGATTTCTCCTCAACTTGCTCAAGTTCAAGCTCTGATTTATAATCATTTATCATGTTATATATGTAGTCATCAATATATTTACAAGCTTTACGCATTCGTCGACCTCTTTCACTAAATTTTTCTGTAAACTTCCATAAAGGTTGTTCAAATCTCTTAAGCATAGCATTTTGTGCATATTCAAAATTAATAATGAATTGTGACTGTTCTTCAGGATTGGTTAAACATCCGAAATTTGCACCAAATGACATACTGTTATTATTGAGAAGATTAATTAAATTCAATGAAATTCATAATATTAATTAATTAGAATTAAGAAACTTACTCTCCGAAAGTATCTATAGTAAATCTGTAGAATAAGTCTTGTAAATCAATGGGCTTTCCACTGTCTGCGTGCTTTTTTAAAATATTTAATACGGCTTTAGATTTTTCCGTTATTGATGTATAAATCAGATTTCTAAAGTTTTTCCCCATGAACAATTGGCTTATTATTCTTCTTTGAAATTTCCATTTATAACTTTATTTGTATTTTGAATCAGTATTATAAATACAATATATATTCAAATACAATAATAATTTAAATAATATACAAACCCATCAACCGATAAGATTCCATCTCCGAATATATCATAACCTACTTCGTAAATGACATCACTTTTTTTATAATCCTCAAAATTGGCTTAAAATATGCAATTAATACATGTTAAAATCATTTGATTATTTGAGTTAACCTTTTGATTTAGAACACTCACTCTTGAGTATATATTCTACTGTTTGTGGATCATTTGATATAATGATTCGGCCAATTCCCAGGATTGTAATTGTACTTTTTTTATTAAAGAAAAAATAAATATCGCCTTTTATTAATAGCATAGTTTATTTGCTTATTTTAAAAAAGTTAATACATACAAAAGTGATCCATATTTATCTGCCAACTCTTGTAAGAGGTGAATATAAGTGTCTCTTTTTATGAATGAGAAAAAGTTTCCAAATATTGGAACACCCTTAGGCCCAACGAGATCTTTCCTAGGACCTGTTCCCATCGCACGATCTGGATAACTTATTACAAGATAGATAATATAACTGGCGAACGAAAGTAAAGATAGAATATAGATATCATTAAAAGTTATATTTAATTTTTGTAGAATTTGAATCATTGTGGACACGGCTAAGTGGAATACTTTTCGCTATAAGTAATATAATGAATTCAAATTTTTTCAACTCAATAAAAGAAATTGTTAGAAAAGAAGGTCCTTTAGGATTTTGTAGATGATGCTGAACTTTTAATATACAGATACGATTTTTAAATTTTTTTGTTTTTGTTTCTAGAGGTAAGCATTAAAATCGTTAATAAAAAATCGAGACATCAAAATTTCAGTATCGGTATGTCAATTTCGGCATTTTTATAGTAAATTTCGGGGGATGACTAAAGCCATGTACGCGTCGGGGTTTGTTTATAAAGACATCAAGAATACGATTTATGTAATATGTAGATTAGGTTGCCAATTATACCATTTTAGACTTTATACACAATATTATTAAGGAAATCATAGTCATGGACAACAGATGATCATAGTTAAAATAGTACTAGCATCGTAAGTACATTCCACTTTATATACATTCCTTTACAAAGACACGTACATTAGTGTAGCATTCCAAATCTTTAAATCGATTCCAATAATTGCCAAAGTTCCGAATAGTTCCGAATAAATGTTATATAGACACCTAAAAAAGATCGAATTGCAAATTAACCGTCCATTAATATTGAAGAACAAGAAAAGATTTAAAGGATTGAACATGAAAATTGATATTCAGAAAAGTAAAATGATGAATTGAAAAAGATACTTTTTTTTTTTAGAAGGTAATATAGTGATGGCAGAAAAAATTCGCGATCAGGTGATTTATGATCATTCTGACCCTATCAACATACAAATTTATGAAATTAGGCAAAACATTTATTTTTGATACTTATACACCCACTTTTTTATGCATCTAAATATACCCTAAAATTTCTATACTTTTTACCAACTTTTATTATAATAACATGCGATCTTATTGGTTAGTTTTAGGGTATGTTTAGATGTATCAAAAAAGACGCGTAGGATGTGTGTTTTGCATTGGATAGATTACTATATTATTAATGTTAAGTTATTGATCGTTTATTGAGTCATAATCAACTGATCGCGAATTTTTTTGCTACCACTATGTTCCTTTTTTAGACCTTCAAACTTTAGTATAATTTATGTTATTCAGAATCAAATGATCTGTGTGATTTATGTTCTTCCGGATCAGCCGATAATCAACAAGATAACTTTTTTAAACCTTCAGATGACGATAAACATATGTTCCTTCGGAGGATTTACTCTCTCCCAAGAACTGATTGGCTGTACTAATTATTCATTTATCGGAGTGCAATAATTATATAATCAAAATTTCAATACTCTGATAGTAAAATTGGGGTGAAATTAGGGCATCCGTCGATCACCACATAATTCGAAAAAGAAAAATATCTTTAATTTATTACGACATTTTTCGTAACAGGTAATTTCCATGTTAACATGATCTGCTTTTTAATTAGAAAACCAAATTTTAGTAATTCAGGTAATTGATACTATATATGTCCTAACTATATATAAACCGGGTTTCTAGCTTTAATTTACGCGCAGTTTTTACTTAGAATACAAAATATGCTTATTTGACTATCACGTTACACCTGATCCTAAATTTTGACTGGTCAAAATTACAGAGGGTGACAATTGTTTGTGTGAACACGAACTAAATAATGAGAATAACTCAAAGCCCAAATTCACGTGATGTCGATTAAACGCAATAATGAACGTAAAGCGCAGGTCGAAATTCGCGGGAAATTTAAAAAGTCAGAACATAAAGATATCGATAATTTATTTAAATTTAATTTCTTTAAGACATCGATATTATAACTATTTCAAAGCAATGTCCGAGTTGACTTTTGATATAATTAGAATTGAAGTTGGAAAAAACGAGCGAAATATGTGTGGGAATTTAAAAAATCAGTACGAAATCGATGTGAAAGAAATGTTGATTATTATAATTATAAAAAAGCATTCGATTTAAGAAAATCCTTGCGATTTTTAAAGTCAATTTACTTACAATATAATTTATTGAACTACTTAATTTATCAAAAATATTAAGTTTAAGAATTGAATAAAATGTCATAGTAGTAAGCTTAAAATACCAAAATAATCGAGATAGAATGGTGTTTCAATACACTGACAACGGAAGCCTTTATAAATTTCGAAAAATAATCCAATATATTGTAGACTTTATTGGTATTTCCATCTTGCAGGATATTAGCACCTTTGAAAGTTAATATGAATGTATCCCGCAAAGCGAAATTTGATCCCTAAAAGTAAATTTATTTTGCATTTCATATCTGGGATTGTCTAAAAAACTTGATGAAAATGGAACAAATAGTATTTATTAGTCCTTGTTTTAAGTGTATCAAAAGCTTTGTCGGATCACAAGCAGCGATATCTACCACTTTTGGCCATCATTTAGGAGGTGACATTTAGGTAAAGGCTTTTTAAGTTGTTCGTTTATACCAATCTCACAATACAGATTAAGACTAGAGTTCGCTAAACCTACGAGTTTTGCATAGCAGTCATACTTCAACTCGGTCGATAAATTTAACTTTAGGGTTATAGAAATAAGTAGCTGCGCAACGTTGTCCCGCGAAACCAGGAACGGGAGAAATCTACACAGATACCATTTCAGTCACAGGAAACCATATTCTTCATTGCAATCCATTCCTGGACAAGAAAATGACTATTTATAAAAGAAGTTGATAGTACTTGCA